AAAAAAAAAAATTCGAATTTCTATATATTTATATACACACACAAATACATATGCATACAGAGCAAGAGAGTGCGCTCATGTGCTTTTTACCTATGTTATAACAACCCAGGAACCAAGACGCTACCCGAGTACTTGGGGGTTCCTCCTCAAGTAGGAATGTGACCCAACCATCTGGGGCTTGGCAGACAAAGGGAGAGAAGGGCTGAGAAAATTACACACACACTTAGTGTTCTGACCTGTGAGAGACAACACTATGCCAGCCCCTCCTGAGGCTAACAGGAATCCTCCTGAGCCCAGGACTTAGGGCTATATTTATTTAGAAAATTTGCTGTTGGTCAGGCACAGTCACACCTGTAATCCTCGCATTCTGGGATGCGTAGGCGGGTAGTTTGCTTGAGCTCCAGAGTTCAAGACCAGCCTGAGCAAATGTGAGACCCTGTCTACTAAAAATAGAAAAACTGAGGCAAGAGTAATACGGGAATTTCACTCTTCAGTAGGTTCTTGGTCTCCCATGATTTGAAGAATGAATCTGTGGACCACAGATCAGTGGTAAGACAGGATTTATTTACAGAAAAGAATACAAAAACACCACAGCTCTGAAGTTGGGAAAAAAAAGCTGGTGCTCACTCTCCATCTCTTGGGGCTCTCTCTATCTCTCTCGTCTCTTTCTGGGCTCTTTGTCTAGGGGTATATATAGTTGCATGCAGCCCTCTGTAGTTACATTTAGCAGGGCTCAGTAGTTACATTTAGCATGTCTGGGACCCTCTGTAGTTACATTTACATTTAGGGTGTCTGGGACCCTCTGTACTTGCATTTAGCCTGTCTGGGACAGCATCTAGGTTGTGAATGAATGGCTACAATCCCTTTTATTCGCAGGCCTAGGAAACTTACATGAAATTAACAAGGCCTAGGAAATGGGGGCGGGGGGAGTGTTCCCTGTTTAGACTTAAGTGCAAGGGGAGGGAAACGTAAGGTACTAGTGTCTCCTCAGCAGTTGTCTGGCCCCTCCAGCTACTGGAGCCTAAGGGGGGGGGGGAGCTGCCTACCCTCTAGCCCACTGGTTCTGCTGCCTGCTGCCACCACACCAACACCACCAAGGTGAGGCAGCGGCTCAGCCCCCCACACACCCCAGCTCCACTCTGGGAAGCCACTTGCCCTGTATCAGCTCTCCCTCTCCTAGTAGAAACTCTTAACTGGTGTTGGGGAAAAAGGATTAAGACTCCATCTAACTGCTTCCTGCTGAGTCAGGGGATGATCTATGAGTCAGAGGGCAGTTAGGGTTTCTCTGGAGGGAGAGTGAGCCAGAGGTCCACAATAGAATCAGGTCTTAGACAGGAACCATCTTTACTGTGTGTGGCTTGATGACATTTCTGGAAGAGGCAAGTCTAATTAGCACATTAAAAGACAATGTTTGGGCTCAGCGCCTATAGCTCAACTGGCTAAGGCGCCAGCCACGTTCACCTAAGGTGGCAGGTTTGAATCCCCAGCCCGGACCCGCC